CCTGTGGGGCCACGGAACGCTGTACTGGGCGGGGGTGACGCATGCGGGCGGCACCACTGGGGCCGTCGGTGGAGCTCCCTGTGGGGCCACGAAACGCTGTGCTGGGTGGGGGTGGAGCATGCGGGCGGCACCACCGGGGCCTTCGGTGGAGCTCCCTGTGGGGCCACGAAATGCTGTGCTGGGGTGGGGGTGACGCATGCGGGCGGCACCAGTGGGGCCTTCGGTGGAGGTCCCTGTGGGGCCACGAAACGCTGTGTTTGGTGGAGGTGCCGAAATGGGTGTGCGGGGCGCATGCGAGCGGTGGCACTGGGGCCTTCGGTGGAGCTCCCTATGGGGCCACGAAGCGTGTGAGGGGTGTGCCGAAATGAGTGTGGCTGACGCATGCGGGCTGGGGCCACGAAGCGTGTGAGGGGTGTGCCGAATTGGATGTGGCTGACGCATGCGGGCGGCGGCACTGCGGCCTTCGGTGGAGCTCCCATATGGGGCCACGAAAGCGTGTGAGGGGTGTGCCGAACTGGGTGTGGCTGACGCATGCGGGCGGCAGCACTGGTGCCTTCGGTGGAGCTCCCATATGGGGCCACGAAACGTGTGAGGGGTGTGCCGAACTGGGTGTGGATGACGCACGCGGGCGGCGGCACTGGTGCCTTCGGTGGAGCTCCCTATCCATGAACGTGTGAGGGGTGTGCCGAATTGGGTGTGGCTGACGCATGCGGGCGGCGGCACTGGGCCTTCGGTGGAGCTCCCTATGGGGCCACGAAACGTGTGAGGGGTGTGCCGAACTGGGTGTGGCTGCATGCAGTGGAGTACGTGTGAGGGGTGTGCCGCTGCATGGAGCTATGGCGCAGCACTGGGGCCTTGGTGGAGCTCCCTATGGGGCCACGAAACGTGTGACGTCGGACGTGCGGGCGGCGGCACTGGGGCCGAGCTCCTATGGGGCCACGAAACGTGTGAGGGGTGTGCCGAACTGGGTGTGGCTGACGCATGCGGGCGGCAGCACTGAGGTTTTCGGTGGAGCTCCCTATGGGGCCACGAAAGCGTGTGAGGGGTGTGCCGAATTGGGTGTGGCTGACGCATGCGGGCGGCGGCACTGGGGCCTTCGGTGGGGCTCCCTATGGGGCCACGAAACATGTGAAGGGTGTGCCGAATTGGGTGTGGCTGACGCATGCGGGCGGCGGCACTGGTGCCTTTGGTGGAGCTCCCTATGGGGCCACGAAACGTGTGAGGGGTGTGCCGATTTGGGTGTGGCTGACGCATGCGGGCGGCGGCACTGGGGCCTTCGGTGGAGCTCCCTATTGGGCCACGAAACGTGTGAGGGTTATGCCGAATTGGATGTGGCTGACGCATGCGGGCGGCGGCACTGGGGCCTTCGGTGGAGCCCCCTATGGGGCCACGAAACGTGTGAGAGGTGTGACGATGATGGTGATGATGACGATGATGGTGGGTGATGACGATGATGATGATGATGATGATGATGATGATGATGATGACAATGATGCTGATGACGATGATGATGATGTTGATGGGCGGAGGGAGGAGGGGGAAGAGGAGGAGGAGAAGAGGAACGCGGGGCACCGTCTCTTCAAAACGAGGACCCAGCACCACAGGATGGTTGGGAAAAATACAAATCCGCCACAAAGGGAACAACATTCAAATCGGCCACAACAGGAGTCAACTTGAATAACGGCCGCTAAAAGGAATCAACTTGCAAAGCGGCCACACGGAGAATTGAGTTGTAGATCCGCCACGAAAGAAATCAACATGTAAATTCACAACTAAATGAGTCAACTTGTAAACCCGCCACGGAAGAAATCAGCTGACCATCCCGCCGCATGAGGGATTCATTTGTAGATCCGCTACTACAGGAATCAATGTGCCGAAAGGTGGTTCCATTGAAGCGTATTGAGCGGCTCATATTTGCCAGAGATTCTCGGGTTAGTGTTTGTGTTATTGGGTATTTGTTCTACACCCCATGGGTTCCAAACGTTTGGAGGGAACCAAAGAAAACATGGGAACCTCTGGCAGATGCAGGCCGCTCAATACGGTTTTGTTTTAATCACCTCTTTCCACATGAATTCCTTGTGTGGCGGATTTGCAGACTCATTCTTTTATGGCAGATTTCCAATTTGATTCTCTTTTGTTGCTCATTTTCACACTGATTGCTCTTTGTGGGGCGTTAGCAAATTGAGCGGGTTAACACATTGATTTCTGTTGTGACGGATTCAACAGTTGATTTTTGTTGTTGCGGATCTACACGTTGATTCTTTGTGTGGTGGATTTGCCAGTTGATTTCTTTGCGTGGCGCGGATTTTCAACCAATTTCATTTTGCAACGGGGTTTCATATTTATTTCTTTGGTGACGCGTTTACAATTTGGATGCCCACGTCTCCGCTACCAAAGATGCAACACCGCGCCGGGGCCATGCCAGAGGAACGCAAGTTCCATAACATTCTGAATTTGGCATTAACTAGTATAAGCCACGGCCTCTCTAAGCTTGATTTCACCTCTGCGCGCTGCCCCAACGCCCGCGCGTTTCTGGAGTGACCAGCCCATCCTGTTGCGTTGCTATGCTCCATACGGTTGTGCCGAGTCGACACCGGAGGCATCAAAGCGCCGAAGAAAAATCGGCAACGATCGCCTGCTTCTCGAAAGTAACCCCTTTGCTGCAACGCGCGCGCAATTCCGGAGAGGCCAACACATGGTGCTTCCCGATTTGTTTCCATAAAATTGCACCGCGTAGACGCCAGAGACATCAAAGCGTCCAACAACGATCGACAACGAACGCCTACTCGTAGCACGACTACACTCGCCCACGTGGCGACGTGTACGGTTGGTATACCACCGGAAGCGCAACGCACGGAAATACCTTTCTAACCGAAAATAATTCACAAAGAGTCATCCTCGTCTCCTCCGCTCCATATTGTCGAATGATTGTTCGCATACACAACGTGGAAGATGCGCAAATCTGACTGGCACAAATCTTACTGGCACACGACAGTGCGCCTCATGGCCACGCTCTTTTTTCCTGTCAAGCTCAGACAAGCCCTCCGCCGCCACAAGCATCGTCACCCGCACTGCGCGCGACCCCCTCGCGCCCAGCTGCCTACTTGCCCTTGCCGGGGCGGCAGGTGCGCGCCCCTGCGCGGTCCTGTGGCTGCATGCTCCGTGCTGTGGTCCGCCCCGCCCTGATGCGCTTCAATGGATGGGCGACGCGCTCCTCTGGCCAGAACCACTCGGGCGCGCCGAGACGAGAAGGAACGAATCTGTCATAATTCTTGGTCGTCGCGGATCAACCCCTCTCCCCTCGGCCAGCTCCGCCCCCGTCTCCTCCTGCACACTCTCTCACGACGCCGCCGACCAGACCAGATCTCGACAAAGGTGAAGATCGTGCCCATGTGCCAGGTCCCTACCTGGGGGAGGCATGCGCTGCTCTCGTCAACTCGCCCACTGGAATCGTAGGTGGCACTCCATGCGGGCGCTCTCTGCGCACGGCGCGTCGGAGATGGAGAGGAAGAGCGGGAGAGGGAGGAGAGAGGGAGAGGGGAGGGAGGGAGGGCGGGAGGGACGGAAGGAGAGACAGGAGAGGGAGAGATCCGCGCGACCAGGCTTACTCCCGACATTGGCCACGGTTCGCAGCTGCCCCGCAGAGGTAGCCCCAGGATAGGGCAATGCCCAGATGTTCAGCTCCGCCCGAAATCCGAGGAGCGATCCCAACGCGAAGGAGCAGTGGTACAGCTGGTGCGAGCAGTACGGCGAGTCGAAGCGCGACCCCCTCAAGCATGGGGAGGACGCACCCGGCCGCGGCCCGGGGCCCAGGTGAAGAGCAGGGGGAGGGACTGAAGGAGGAGGGGAAGGGCGGATAAAAAGGAGGAGGAAGAGGAGGAGGAGGAGGAGGAGGAGGAGGAGGAGGAGTGAGAGGAGGATAGAGAGGGGGAAAGGCGGAGCCCCAAGGGAGTAGGACGGGGAGGGGGGAGGGCGGGGGTGGTACAACATGTGCAGCATTCAGCTGGTTTCGGCTACCGCCAGCACCTCCACTGGTACATCGGCGATTCTGGCGCTGGGGTGCGCCAGGAAAGCCACTTGCGTGATTTCATTATCTAGCCTCGGATCGCCCCGTCTCGTCCGACCCACGAAGCGGGTCTGGAGTAAGTTATCGAGCATCGAGTATCCGATTAGTTCCCCACATGTTTCGTGGGGTTTGGCTTTTCTTCCCACCCGCGTCGCACCCGCGTCTTCCTCACCTCCCGCCTCCCCCTTCGCCTTCTCACACAGCACAGCACAGCACAGCAGACCGCAGCACAGCACAGGACAGCACAGAACAGCACAGAACAGCACACGTCAGCAGAGCACAGCACAGCACAGTACAGCACAGCACAGCACAGCACAGCACAGCACAGCATATGGACAGCACGCCCGAGTCGTGCACTTTCCCCGCAGTGTCTGGCCGACGTGGCATTTCCTCGACGCCACGGGGGGTGCGCTCGGGGTGGGGGCCCCATGCGTTGCAGGCTCGCAGGGCGTGGCAGGCGCGGCATTCCCTCGACGCCACAGGGGGTGCGCTGAGGGTGGGGGACCTATGCGTTGCAGGCTCGCAGGGCGTGGCAGGCGTGGCATTTCCTCGACGCCACAGGAGGGTGCGCTGGACGTGGGGGCCCTATGCGTTGCAGGCTCGCAGGGCGTGGCAGGCGTGGCATTTCCTCGACGCCACAGGGGGTGCGCTGGGGGTGGGGGCCCCATGCGCTACAGGCTCGCAGGGCGTGGCAGTCGTGGCATTTCCTCGACGCCACAGGGGGTGCGCTGGGGGTGGGGGCCCCATGCGCTACAGGCTCGCAGGGCGTGGCAGGCGCGGCGTTCCCTCGACGCCACAGGGGGTGCGCTGGGGGTGGGGGCCCTATGCGTTGCAGGCTCGCAGGGCGTGGCAGGCGTGGCATGTCCTCGACGCCACAAGAGGGTGCGCTGGACGTGGGGGCCCTACGCGGTGCAAGCTCTCAGGGCCTGGCAGTCGTGGCATTTCCTCGACGCCACAAGGGGGTGCGCTGGGGGTGGGGGCCCCATGCGTTGCAGGCTCGCAGGGCGTGACAGGCGCGGTATTTCCTCGACGCCACAGGGGGTGCGCTGAGGGTCGGGGCCCTGCGCGCTGCAGGCTCGCAGGGCGTGGCAGGCGCGGCATTCCCTCGACGCCACAGGGGGTGCGCTGGGGGTGGGGGCCCCGTGCGCTGCAGGCCCGCAGGGCGTGGCAGACGTGGCATTTCCTCGACGCCACGGGGGCTGCGCTCGGGGTGGGATTTTGTGTCTTGTCAAGAAGTGTAAAACACGTTGGCGCAAGCCGGCTCGGCGCGCCTGCGCTCTCAGGCAGGCGCTCTCCTGCAGTCATATTGTAGTGGCCTCTGGCCAGTGCCGCGGATCCGGGGGCGGTCCCGATGCGATCTGGTTGGTGGAAGGGAAGGTGGAGGAGTGCGGGCTCGGCGCGCCTGCGCTGTCAAGCAGGCGCGATCCTGTAGTCCTACTTCAAAGCGCCGCCTGTCCCCCAAAAGCGCCGTGGACGCGCTGCCACCTCCGTGTTTGGCAATGAAGACTGCAATGGTTCAGATGAGCGACGACCGTCTGCGAACACACCTGGCTTAAACCAGGTACGCGGGGTTCCTCAGAAGCGTCATTGTCTTTCTTGGGTCTGGATCTCATTGTGGGGGCCTCCTGGGAATGCTAGACGCTCCAGCGGTCGCAGGCGAGTGGAGAGGGTGAGGGGAAATGGAGGAGAGAGCGAATCGGGAGGGAAGGAGGGTGGAAGGACGAGAGAACAGAAAGGGAAGGCGAGGAGGAGGGGGAGGAGGGGGAGGAGGAGGAGGAGGAGGAGGAGGAGGAGGAGGAGGAGGAGGAGCAGGAGAAATTGCGGGAAGCGGAGGAGAAAAGTAGGAGGGGGAGGCGGAGGGGATGCCTTCTCTTCCTTGCCTTCTCCTGCTCCTGCCGCTCCTCCGAGAGTCTGCGGAAAAGGGTGCTCCAACGCATCGTTGGTTCGGCTCCTGCCACGCTCCCGCGTTTGGCCGTCGTGCCCAATCAGCAGGCTTTTTTTTGGCCCAACGCGCTAGACGGGACTGCTCGGCTGTGCTGGGTTCGGCTCGAAACGGAAGGCCCCAGGGGGGAGGGCTTCGTGGTGTGTCGCTGGGTGTTGGAAGGCCCTCGCGTACAGTGGGGGCCATGCACAAAAAAACAACACCCTGTTTGCCTTCAGGGCGCCCTGGGTTTTGATGGTTTCGCGATGGGAAGCGTGACGTTCCCACGCCGAACATCGATGGACGTCCTGGGGTTCCAGGGTTGGGTTTCTTGTGGAAGATTTCTTGGGGACTGGCCTCCACTGTAGCAGGGTCAGGCCTACATAGCCCTGGTTACGCAGGAGGTCCACAACGAAATCTTGCCCATCCCCGAGTCAGATGCCGAGCGGAGTGCCTGGCCGAATGGCCAAACCGATTAGACCGCCAAGCTCGGAGCCAAGATGAACGATCTCCGTGGGCGGGTCCTGGTGGGCCTTGAGGACGGGCGCGACACGGTTGAGCTGCGTGTCGGGCGGTGTCGCCCAAGGCGCTGAGCTCGGGGCTGGCCCCGAAAGCGGGGTCGGCGTGCATGCGGCGCCCGTCGAAAACGGCCCCAGCCGCCGCGGCAGCTCAGGAGTTTGTGCGCGTGGGCAAGAGCAAGTTGCAAAGAACGCGTCGTATCCATTGTAAGCTTGCTCCCACCAGAATGCTGTTGGACCGGAGGATGACCACCTCGAGGGCCGAGCTTCCAGAAGGTCGCGGTCGTGCGGCCTCAGATAATGCGGGGTGGTGTGGGTTCACCCCAAGGCCAGCGGTTGAGGTGGGTGACGCGTTGCCATTATTTCACAAATGCTCTGCGTATGCCCGTATCCAGCCACCTCGTCCCCCCCCCCGTTGAACGACCGTTACCCTGGGGAAAAAAATTGCCACCACCAGAGATTTCACAAGTTCGATCATGTGGACAAGTTGTTCCTGGAGCAAGGGTTTATCCGGGAATGTCGTTCACCCACATCTGAGGGGCCACGGCCCTCACGCTGCGCTCTCAGTATATGGCCGCCACTGCAGCGTCTCGTCTCGTCTCGTCTCTTTTCGTCTCCCCCCCCACCCCGCCGCCCCCTCCCGAGGAACAGTCCGGGCCAGGCCAAGATCCCCCCCTGGTTTGGTTGGGTTCTTCTCCTCCTCGAGGGTGGGGCGGGGGGCTCTGCCCAGATCTGCCACCCCCCTGGCTTGGTGGTTGGGGTGCCCCCCCCCCTCAGGAAGTGGGCGCTGGGAGGGGGGAGTCGGACGGGGCGGACGAGGAAAAATCCGCTCCAGAGCGTTCCATAACGCTCTCAGAGCGTCCCGGTACGCTCTGAGAAGGCCGCGGCGCCCGAGGCGTCCTTCATAGCGGCCTGATCTCTGGGACCCCCCATGTTTTCTCACCCGAGTTCGTCCTCGGCTTGGCTTCGTCTTGCGCGGGGGCCGAGGGGGTTGGTGGGGGGGGGGGGCCCAGCGTGCCCGCAGCGGCGCGCGCAGCGCGGAGCGCAGCGCGGCGGGCGCCCCTCCGCCGCGCAGGAGTTCCTGCAGACTTTCCTGTCGTCCTACAGGACGGGCATGCGGCTCCCGCAGGAGGCGCCCTGCCCTCCTCGCCGTCCTCTCCCGCCCCCTCTCCTCCTGCTCCTCCCCCCTCGTCGCCCCTCCTCCTCCTCCTCCTCCTCCTCCTCCTCCTCCTCCTGCTCCTGCTCCTGCTCCTCCTCCCCCTCCTCATCCTCCTCCTCCTCCCCCTCCTCCTCCTGCCCCTCCTCCTCGTCACCCTCCCCCTCCTCCTCGCCCCTCCCCTTCCTCCTCCGCTCCCTCCTCGGCGCCCCTCCAGGTCCCCCCTCGTCCTCCCCCCTCTGCGCCGTCCCTCCCCGCCCCCCTCGCCCATCCCCTCGTCGCTCCCTCCTCGCCCCTCCTCGCTCACCCTGTCCGCCGCCTCCTCGCCGCCGTCCTCCTCCCGCATCCCTCCCGCCTCCCGCTCCTCGCCCCCGGGGGGAGGGCGCCCAGGCCTCCGCCGATGTGGTCTGCTCCCTGCCGGCGGCTTCCTCGGGCCACGGCTTCGGTGGGGTGTGGGTGTGTAAGTTCAGGAGGCCTTTAGTTTTCAGTCGGGCGTGTCCCTCTACAGGAGGAATCTTCTAACAGTGTCAAACATAGTCTGGGGACTGTTTTTTGCTATTTGGGTGTATGTTTGTGTATTGTTCTTTTTTTTCGCCCACGATCCGCCTGTAGGGGGACGCCCGATCTACATGACTTTAGTTATTGCCCCCCCCCGTGTTTCTCTCGGCGCGGAATACGTTCGCCCCTTCTCTGTAGTCGTAGTCGTAATCATAGTGTTGTCGCGGTCGTCAACTACTCGTTGTCGTAGCCGTAGTCGGATCATGGTCGTCATCGTAGTCGTAGTGGTGGTCGTCGTCGTCGTCGTTGTGCGGCGGGTGCCGCGGAGAAATCATTTGTTCCACCACTGGTGGGACCTCAATCCGTCGATAAGGTCGCCGAACAGATCAGCATGCTACAACTATTGTCGGGGGTCTGAAGACCTGAGGCGGTCATCGGGCACGAGGACCGCCAAGAATCGAGGGAAAATAACATCCATAAACATACATTAACGTTCGGAGGTCCGCGCAGATTTCTCGGATCTGCGCTGGGCCTCCCTGGCGGCTCCTCCAGCGCCGTCCCTGGCGCGCTCCGCGCGCGGGGGGGGGGCGGGGAGGGGCGGCCAGCGCCGACCCAAGAACCCTGCGGGGTCCTCCGATCCGAGAAACCCGCGCGGACCTCCGAAACAGGCGACACCTCAATTGAAGTGGGGCCTCCACGGGCGCAGGCCACGAGGAGAAATCGATGACCTCAGACCAGCCAACTTGCCCTCGTGCTTCTGCTCGTGCCTTTCTCGCGCGTCCTCTGAGGAGGCGAATAGTCGGGGCGAGGCACTGGCCCCGTGAGCAGCGTCGAGGACCTCGGGAGTCAACCTCGGGACAGGACGGGCCCTCCGGAGCCTCGGGGTCCTGGGCAGGAGCGGTGGCGTCGGAGGCTCTGGAAAGGAGGGACGAGCTGGACAGGCCCACGAAGAAGGGGCCGTAATCCCTCCTGGGCGTTCCGGGGCTGGCACGTCCTCGGCGCACGACGCATCGGCCCGCATCCGACGTTGTCCAAACCCTTTTTTCGTCTGGAGATGGAGAGGAAGGGGGAGGGAGAGAGGGAGAGAGGATGGGATGGATGAGTGGAGGGCGGGAGGAGAAGGAGGAGGAGGAGGAGGAGGAGGAGGAGGGAGGAGAGGGAGGAAGGGAGGAGGGAGATGATCACCAGTCCCCTGGACATGTATGCGCTGGCAGGTCGTCTCTACCATCGCAACTACCATCACGCCTACCAAGACCACCACGACGCCCGACGTCAGCGACCACAACCACGACTACCGCGAAGACCAATACCATGACCCGAGCCGCTGGCGACCACCGCCACGACCACCAGGACCGCCACCACGACCACCACTAGCACGCCCACCACCAGCCCGACCACCGCCTGCACGACCACCACCCCTACGACCACTAACACGACCACCACCGCTACCACTTGCCCGCCAACCCCAGCCGCCCCCGCCCCCCGCCCCCCTTCCTCTTTCTCCCCTTCCCTGGCAGGCTCCCCCTGCCGCAGCTCGCGCGTCGCGCCTGTCCCCCTCCTCCTCCTCCTCCTCCTCCTCATCATCATCATCATCATCAGCATCATTAATATTATCATCATAATCATCATCATCAGCATTATCATCATCATTACCATCATCGTCATCATCATCATTGTCATCATTGTCATCATCATCATCATCATCATCATCATCATCATCATCATCATCGTCGACATCGTCATCATCGTCGTCATTGTCATCGTCATCATCATCATCATCCTTATCATCATCATCATCATCCTTATCATCATCATCATCCTTATCATCATCATCATCATCATCATCAGCAGCAGCAGCAGCAGCAGCAGCATCAGCATCATCATCAGCATAGTTGCAGCGACGCCAATGTTACTTTGTCGTCTGTAATTCCCCAAAGAGTGCTTGCACGTATGAGGTTTTACTTGTTTTCTAGGGTAATGGAGCCTGAGTGTCGGTCGGGCCAGCTCGTCGCCATCCGTCGCCGTCGCTGCCGTCTACGGCAATTGGACCTGAGCGCCGGTCCAGCTGGCTCGTTGCCGCCCGTCGCCGCGGCCGTCGCCGCTGGTATCTAAGACCAGGTAGCGGTCTGGCCAGCTCGTCGCCGCCCATAGTTGCCATCGCCGCTGAAGCGTTTTGCATTGTTTGACATCGCATTGCGTGGCTTTGCTTTGTGTTGCTTTTCATTGGCTTGTACTGTTTAGCATTGTGTTGGAAGGCTTTGCAGTGGTTTGTGTTGGTTTGCAGTGCTTTGCATTGGTTTGCTGTGCGTTGCATTGCTTCGCATTGCTTTGCGTTGCTCTGCATTCCTTTGCACTGCGTTGTATTACTTTGCATTGCGTTGCATTGCTTGATGCTGTGTGTCGTTGTTTTTCATTGTGTGTCATTGATTTGCACTGCTTTGCATTGTTTCCCATTGCTTTCCATTGAGATGCATTGCGTTGTATTGAGTTATATTGCGTTGCATTGACTTGATGTTGTGTGCATCGATGTGCATTAGTGTTAATTGCTTTGCATTGCCTTGCGTTGCTCGGCGTTGCTTGGCATTGGTTTACATTGGTTTACATTGCTCTGCATTGCTGTGCAGTGCTTTGCGTTTTCGGGCATTGCCTGACAATTGCATTGCTTTTGCATTGCTTTTGCATTGCTTGTCATTGCTTGGCATTGCATTCAATTGCCTGCCATTGCTTCGCACTTATTTGCATCGAATTCCATGTCGTTGCACAGCACAGGTTGCACCACATGGATCACACCACTCAGATTGCAGCAGCATTGATTCCACATCCTAGAACGTGCTGCAAGAAATCACTGCCTGGGGTCCACGCTGGCTAACACCTTCTGATCAGAGCTTGGGAGACGCCACCAGGCCGGCCTTGCCGCCGGGCCAGGCCTTCAGAAACGGACCGGCCCCGGCAGCAGCTGACGAGGAACTCAGGACAGGAACCCCCAATGCCCGAGGTCCGCCTCTGTGACGGGGTTGGGGACCCACTGGGGTGCCCCCAGGCAGGCCGAGGACGGGAGGGAGGGAGGAGGAGGAGGAGGAGGAGGTAGGGAGGGGAAGGAAGGGAGGGAGGGGGGGAGGGAGGGAGGGAGGGAGGGACAGAAGAGAGAAGGGAAAGAGGGTTCTGCAGCGCGCGTCTACAGCCAAGCATCCGGAGGGTTTGAGGAGGCCGAACGGCAGTTCACTGTCCCTGGGCGCGTGGCCGAAGTGAGGTTCCACGGTGCGGATTGCTGTTGTTGCGTTGTTTGATGTTTGTTCTTTGTCGTCGTCGTCCCACCCGCGACCTGGCCCGAGACCCACCCGCGACCCACCCGCGATCCCGCCCGCGACCCCGTCCGCGACCCGTCCCGCGACCCACCCGCCACCCACGCACGACCCGGCCCGCGACCCACACACAGATTGTGATTGTTGTGACAAGAAAATCGGCGCCTGCGGCGGGCTCGGCCTGCGGCGGTCTTCTTGAGAGCCTCGCAGACTGCCGACATCCGCGCCGCCTTCTTACTCTTCTCCGCAGCTGCTGGGTGCTACTTAGGCTAGAAGTTCGAACGACTATCATTTTATCTCGCCGTCAGGGTGATGATCCCACTCCATGTGCCTCGTTTGAGCCTCTGCAGCCCCTCACTCTGGTAATTGGTCAAACGAGCCACGCCTTCTTCCTCGGTGTCGCACGGCTCGAGGAGGAGCCTCGGAATCCCCTGCGATCAGCATCCGCACCCGCCGCAAAAGCTGCAAGAGCCTTCTACCCGACAGGCATGGGCATCGCGCACCTGCCTGCCCTCCGAAAAGAAGGGCGCCGAGCTCGGGCCCGAAGTTCTGCCATGCCGAGGCGCTCCCAGATGCCTTCGTCGACAGCCTCATCGGTGAGCTGGGAGGGCTTGCTGTCAGCCTGGCGCCCGCGCCGGAGGTCCCCAGGGCCCTCCTCCGCCGCATCTGTCGCCGTGACCGCGCAGGAAAGGCTAACGATGCGAAGAAATCCGCATGCCTTCCGCTTGACACACTTGCCGCATTTCTGGCACCTCCAACCCAAAATGATAGGCAAAAACGCGTCTTCGATGACTGCCAATTTTGCCGCCTTCCGCCTCATGATCTGCGAAAGTTGTGTTCGCGTGACTTCCCCAGCTGGGTTTTGGGGCCGAGTACACACTTCCGAGCAGATTGTGGCATTGAGTTTCAGAATGGCCACCGCTTTTTCAACCAAACTGGTCGCGTGCTGAACTACCTTGGGCATGATGGGCATTATAGCCCCCGCCCCCCCCCTATGACGTAACGCCATTCCCCCCCCCCTAGTGCTCTCCTGGCACTGCCGCCGTGCGGATCGGGATCCGCATCGGCATAGGGATCCGCATAAGGATCCGCGTAAGGAGCCGCATAGGGATTCGCAGAGGGATTCGCATGGCACTGCGCATGGGCATCCTCATCGGGATCCGCATAAGCATCCACATAAGCATCCGCATAGGGACCTGCGCATGGATCCGCATAGGGATTCGCTTAGGGACCCGATCTGATTTGCGCATAGGGATCCGAAATTATGGTTTTCTGCTTCCGGTAAAGACTCTTTCTCTTCCGTCTGTGCCTCCCTCTCCTCCTCTTTCTCTTCCGGCGAGCCAGCTCGAGGGTATGAGTCCCCTGCGCTAGACGATGAGTGCAGCGGGAGCCTCCTCACGGGCTTCGTGCTTGAGGTGATTGGTCGCGTGTGCACTCGGGCTGTCATCCACTTCATTGCACATGCACCCCCCAGAACCCTACGAATGGGGCAGTCGGTAAGACGATGCCACCGCTGACAGATAGCGTTCACGACCAGCTTGGCGTCCGCTTAACGTCTTTGAGGCCAGTAGCCCCCACAGGCAACAAGACGAACCATGCTTGCAAGGGAGGGCTCGCCCGTTTCTCCTGGGAGCGAAGGAGGAGCTGCCGTCAACGCGGCTCCACGTGCCGCCACCTGGATCAACGAAGCGATCGGGGCCAGGCACGGCCCACCCAACGCACAGCACGGAGGTTTGGAAGGCAGCCTTGGGGCGCTTGACATAACGCCAGCACTTGCAAGCAGTTGGCAAGGAATCCCCCCATAGAGCCCTGACGCGTTCGAGGAGGGCCGGCCTGTTTACCAGCGTAGCAAGCCTGCAGAGGCCAGACCCAAGTCGACATGGTCGCAATCGACATGGTCGCAATCCCCTCCTTCCGCCCACGCGCGCCCCCACCTCACTCGCGCGCGCGCGGCCAGCTGGGCCAGGGCAGTCCACGGCTCGGTTCGACTGGCCAGTCGACACGCCTCTGGCCAAGCCCCTGGCAGCTGGCCAGCTGCAGTCATCAGGCAGGCCCAGGAAGAGGACAGTATCCTCCCAGAGCGTTCCGGAGGCGGAGGAGGCGGCGGAGGAGGAGCATGAGGGCGGCGGAGGAGGTGGCGGACGCGCGCGGGGCGCGCGCGCGCGCGGCGGCGAAACACGTAACGCATTGAGGGGTCTGGCGGAGCAACGAGGAGAGGAGGAGGAGGAGGAGGAGGAGGAGGAGGAGGAGCCGGCAATGACGCGACGACGACGCCGCCAGTTGCGCCGCTGCTCGCACTGCGCCTCTCACGTCAGTTGGCGCGGGGCGCTCGCCCCCTCCAAAGGCGGAGCAGCTCAAGGTCGAAAATGTGACCAAGGCGCTGCAAAGGAGATCCAGGTGCCGCGAGGGGGCGGGAGACAAGGGGCAGGAGACATGAAGAGGGAGGGGAGAGGAGACAGGAAGAGGAGATAGGAAAAGGAGGAGGAGGAGGAGGAGGAGACGGAAGGAGGCAGGAGGAGGATGAGGAAGCAGGAGACAGGAGGAAGAGGCGGAGGAGGAGAGAGAAAGAGTCGGCAGAGGCAGGAGGGAACGGTGGACGGCGGAGGGAGGTGGATGAGTCGGGGAAGAAGCCAGGAGGAAGGGCAGGGTCGGAGGAAAGCGGGGTACATGTCATGGGGGGTTGGTGCAGCTGGCTTCGGCCCCACCAGAGTCTGGCGGAGTGCGCCAGGGGGTGGCGCGAAGGGGGTGGCTCTCTGAGAAGGCGGGGGGCTTCTCGGGTGCCTTCTCGAGAGGGCCCGGAGGCTTCCAGCGAGGCTTCCCGGAGGCAGGGACGGCTTCTAGGAAGCCACGCGTCTGCTCCGCAGCCACGCCGCCGCGCGCGCCGCCGACAGGGGGAGGGGGGGGGGAACGGGCGGGGACGGTGCATCAACGATGCTGCAGTGCCCCTCGCAGAAGTCCATTCCGCAGAAGTCCGTGCGACGGACCATTGCCACTGCCGCATGCGCCCCCCCCCCCCCCTCCCGAGAGACGAGCGCCCAAAGCGGCCCGCCACATCAGGTGAGAGCCCCGTTCTGAGCACGATCCGCCATCCAGTCCTGTAACTACACGAGGGTACCCATCAGGCTGGAAACAACTCTCCACCGATAGCCGCGTGCTGAACAGGATCAGGGGCCTCTCTCTGTTTACCCCCCGATCTCCTCCTCCGCCTCTTCCTCCTCCTCTTCCTCCTCCTCGTCCTCTTCCTCCTCTTCCTCCTCGTCCTCTTCCTCCTGTGAGTTTAATAAGTAGCGTTTCTGAGTATGTTTATGTCTGCCCAGTGTGGGAGAGTGTTGCGAGCGTCCAAGTAGTGGCCTTGGGTTGGCCGATACGAGCTCGACGCTTCGCAAACCTTGCAAATTTGGCCGAGCTTCCAATTGCAGTGTTGCTCGTCCTGCGGGCGACCGGCCACTAACTACGGACCCCAGGCAGCGTGTTTGCGCTTGATCCACGCCTACAGCCAAAGGCATCGAGAACCTTAGACGCATCAGGAAAGGCCGTGCTTACCCAGCTATAGAGGTCCGTCCAGCGTCATCCAGGAAGCCCAGTTGTCTGAAGTCCGCCGCCAGACCTGTCTGAAGTGGCACCCAAGCCGAGTTGTGGCCCTCAGGAGGCGAGGCGGGCTCGGATGCCAGGCAAAACCATTCTCCCAAGGCCACCGACCCCGCTGAGAAGCCTGGCCCGAATAGGGCAGGAGACGATAAGTTGAAGATCCTACGTGTCCAAGACCAGTTGCGTGAGCAGGTGGAGGATATTAGTGCCCTTGTTGCGTGAGGAGTTCAGATGAAGGTTCTTCTCGTGCATGCCCCACACTTGCGTCCCTTTTGTACCTTATACCTGGACTGCCTCGCTGTCTGATCTGCATCACCTGGGAGCCTGCGCGTCCTGTTGCCCTGTAGACTGGCCGCGCCGCTCTCTGGCTCAGGCGGTGGCGGTCTGCCCCCCCCACCTCCCCTGTGCGGTGTGGGTGCTGGCTCCTCCACTGCACTGCTCTCCCAGGTCGCGCGGGACTGGGGTGAGAACATCCCCCACGCCGCGAGGCGGGCGCAGGATGAGCCATGCGCCTGCCCTCCTCTGCGTTCGCCTACCCGCTCCTGCGGCCTGCCTCCTCGGCTCGCCTCGGCGGTGCGGTGCTGGCCACTGCGCGTCCATGGCCGCCGCCGCGCTCCGGTGCTCTGCTCTGGTAGCAGCGTTCGACCTCTGGCAGTGCGCTGCGCTGCCACCCAGCCAAGCTCGCCCTCGGTCGCAGCGGTGTGGTGCTGGCCTACCCTGATCAGGGAAACGTAAGACTCGAGTAAGCCGGAACTCCGGTTCGCCGACGTTTTTTGACGAGCGCGTCCTGGATTTTGACGGTTCGGTTTTCGAGGGATGTTTGCAGCGGGAGTTCGCGTCATTTTTCGGATTGGGTCTCGTCCTTTTTGTCATAGCCCCGTCGGACCAGCCCGAGTCCCTCGCACACGGGTCTTGCGTCTCCCCGACCTGGGTGGGTCCGCCGCCACTGCCCTGGCACAGCAGCAGCGGGGTGCAGGCACCCGACCGGTGCAGGGGCGCGGAGCCGCCGCCGCCCACCAGGCCTGGCCGCGGCGAGGAGCCGCCGCCGCCGCTGCGGCTGCGGCTGGCAGGGAGTGGCCACGAGGCCCACGCCCGGTTGGCCCTGTCTTCTCGGCGGGCCGATACAGAGAATCTTCCTCGTCGTATTACCATCCTCCTCTTCCTCCTCCTCCTCCTCCTCCTCCTGCTCCTCGTATCCCTCCTCCTCCTCCTTCTCCTCCTCCGCCTTCCTTCCTCCCCCAGGCATCGTGCCACCCTCGAGCAGCAGTTTGCATTGCCTCGGTTTCAGGCCGACTCTAACCCCGGACCTGACGAGCAAGTCGCAACGAGTCTCTTTCTTTCTTTCTCTTTCTCTTTCTCTCTCCCTCTCTCTCACACGGAGTCTGCATGTCATCGGCGCCAGAGAGCACGCTGCAGCGAGGCCCGCAGTATCCTCTTCGTGACACGGCCACGGCAGGGTGGGCAAGACTGGTCGATGGACTGCTGCCCAGCGCTGCGCGGACTGGAGGCGGGACAGCCAGTTGCAGGCGCGTGGCCACGGGGCGCTCCTGCGGCGCACAGCTCCCGAGGAGAGCAGCCACGCCCCCGCCATTGGCGCCCGAGGGCCGGGCAGGCGGAGGCGCGCTGGTCCAGGCGCCAGCGCAGGTGTCGAGCCAGCTGCCGTCGCCCACCAAGCGGGGCGCGAGGTCGCCCATCAGCTCTCGGGGGCCCTCGGCGAGACCCAGAAGGGCTCCTCAGGATTCCTTCGGATTCCCAGGATCCCTCGGGATTCCTCAGGATCCCCAGGACCCCTCAGGATTCAGCATGATTCCTCAGGACCCCCGAGGATGCCTCACGATCCCCCTGGACTCCTCAGGATCCCCGAGGATTCCCCAGGATCTCAAAGTCGGCGGCGGTAAAGGGCAGCCCCGCAGAAGAGCAGGGCCATGCGGGCCGGCGGACGCGGCAGAGGCGTTCGAGGAGGCCTCGGGGGCCCACGGCAGTGCCCGGCGTCCGCCGCCGCGGGGCCCCGCGGTGGCACGTCGTGCCGGGTTGCGCAGGGGCGCGCGTCGTCAGAGTCGGTGCGAGCGGCGGGCTCCTTGCCTCGAGTTTCCGGCGCACGCCTCTCACGCGGAGGGCCGCGGAGGGCCCGGGGCCCAGTCGCCGCGGGAAGACCGACGTGGTGTCAAAAACCTTTTATGCGCGCCGACGCCGCAAGAACATACTGTAGTGTTATGTCTTCCATTGCCTTGGCTTGCCTTCCTTGACACGAAAAGAGCAGCGCCTTCGACGGGCTTCTGTCTTGGCTGCCCGCTGTCAAGCCTGGAACAGCTCATCATTCCTATCCGTGTCTGCAGAGGTTATGGTCTATTTGGATGGCTCGCTCGCTTGCGCCCACTTGCGGCCGATGGCTATTGGAGTTTGTTTGTTTGCCTTCGGGGTCGTCCGTAAACATCCGTCACCTGACGAGCATGATGTGTCTAACATCGTTGAGTTTAAGCTCGGTGTCTTGTTCTTTGGTATTCCCAGGCGACCACGGCCTAGACCGACTCACCACCACCACCACCACAACCACCCGCATCCTTCTCGTCCCCGTTTCCTGCTCTGATCCCTCCACTTTGCTTCCCCTCCTCCTCCCCGCCCCCCCTCTTGCACGGGCTCCCTCCCTTCCCGGCTACTTTTCCCGCCTCCTCGCGAGCGTGCCCACGACGCTCACCCCCTGCGGACGTGCGCGCGAGGACATTTAAGGAAGTGTGGCAGAAGTACTGCGACGTCCAGGGTGGGGGCAAGCACGACCCAGCGAAGCATCAGTCCCAGTATCATTTGGCGGGAGGGGGGGAGAAAAAGGGAGGGATGGAGGTTCAGGGAGGAGGAGCAGGGGAGGAGGAAGAGGAGGAGGAGGAAGACGAGGAGGAAGAGGGAGGAGGAGGAGGAGGAGGAGGAGGAGGAGGAGGGGGAGGTGGAGGCGAAGTGGGAGGAGGAGCAGGACGAGGTGGCGAGCAGTTCCCGGCGAAGCATCAGTCCCAGTATACATTGGGGGTAGATGGGGTGGAAAGGGAGAGGTGCGCACCCTCCGCATTCCTTCGTCTTCCGTCCTCTGCCCTTCTCTCCTCTCCCCTTTGCCTGCCCGTGCTCCTCCTTGCGCTCGTCGTCCTTCCCTCTCTCTCTGTACATGGACGGTCGGGTCGAGGTATCAGATCGAGGTCTCTTCAGGAAGGTCACCCTATCGATCTTCGTTTGTGCTGGATGTTCTAATACACTGTGGGGGAGGGTACCCTCGAGTGTTCTTCAGTTTTGCCAGCGGAGGGTCTCATACTCTTGAAGGATACTCTTCAGTGCTAAACCTGGCCGTATACCCCGTGGTGGCAAGCGCAGTTTGGCGATGTAATTTGACCTGGTATCGATTTGGTGGGGGTTGCGGTGCAGCCTCCCATCTTCCTTGGAGGCCCGATTCGCGCCTTGCTGGAGGCAATGCGTAGCGATGTGACCATGCTTGTAGGATCTGCGCGGCGCTTCCGACGCTCCATTGACATGACCGCGCGACGATTAGGAGCAGGCCTCTACCCATGCCCTGTCCTCCCCTCGGCTTGCGTCTCCTTCCTCCCACGTTTCCGCCCTCCTCTCCCCCTCCTTCTTCCCCCCTCCTCCGCTTGCTGCCCCCCCCCCCTCCCCGCTCCTCCAGTGCCGCCCCCTCTGTTGGGAGGAGCACCTGCCCCGGCCCCTGGGCAGAGAGCGGGGGCAGCCCTTCTCCCTACGTCTGCGGGTGCTGTCCACGCATTCCCCTTGCGTTCGTTGTGCTGCTGGCCCAGCTCGCAGCGGAAGAAAGACACAGCAGGAACGTAAACTGCCGGATCTCCGCGAGGACCACGCGAGGATTTTTTGGATCAGCGTTGGGCCCCCCTCTCGGCGCGCTCCGCCGCCCAGGGAAGGCGTCCGGCGCGTGTCCACAGACCTTGGGTGGACCTCCGAGAGTTTGTGTTGAATCCGTTCTCTCGTGCTCTACCAGTGGGATGTCCCAATGTCTGAGCACGGCCGCGTTGGCCACCTGCGCAGTGTGCCGAGCGAGGATGGGTTGGAGGCTGGTGGCCGAGCTGCAAGCCCCACTGGCTGAGTTTGTAGGGGTCCTCTGGAAGCCGATGCTTCGTCCCGCCCCCCGCCCCCTACACCCTAGGCGATGCTCAAGAAAACTTACGTTTTCGGCCAGAGTCTCGATTATTCTTAATGTTTCAATGTAAATTCTATGATTTTAATAGAAGTTCTGGGTTTATATTTAATTCTGAGACTATGAATTTCTTAACCCATGATTTCTTAGGCATTTCGCAGGGTGTACTGTAAGCGTTGCGTCGTCACATCGCCCAAACCAATGATAGTTTGGGAATGTGGTTGGCGTGCAGCTGTCTGAACTGTGGCGGTGCATGCTGTGCATACGAATTGGCGCAGGCTGCATTTCGGGAGTGTCTCGCTGTGCAGAGCGAGGCTGGCGCACGTGGGCTGCAGCGGGCACAGCTTTGCGGATCGCATGTAGTATTGTTGCGATTGGACTGTCATGAAGACTGAGATTGTGGCCAGCGACTTGCTGGTTGGCTGATAGGTGCATCTATGTGCGTGGTTGTGCGCCGGACGACGCGCAGGGATGCCACCGCCCAGGGGTCGCCCCCCCACCCCCCGATGCGTGTCTCGGTGACGGTAGCCTCTGTCTCTGCTCTCATGCGTTCCCAGTTCCGTAAGAAGCGCAGGGCGGTGGGCGCCACCTCTGCCGATTGCCCCTGATCAATCCCCGTCGCGGCCAGCCACCGCGCGGTGCGTCGACGAGGCGAGGTAGACTCCCGTCCGGGGGGGGGACCCCACGCTTGTCAAAGAATGCAGGGTGCACCAGAACAAGATGGAGGAGCGGACTGCCCACTCCAGGGCGTCGCACCGCGTAAGCCATGGGATTGGTGGAAGCATCGGCGATGCTGAGGCGAGCGTAGCGAGAAGAAATCTGCTGTATAGTCTGGTCCAGTCAGTCGGTCGGCACTGCAAAGGCAAAAGTACGTGCGAGTCCTGTCTATCGTATTCCAGACTCGCTTGATGTCTTGAGCACGGGCTGTCTACGAAAGAGACTGTGTCTCTTCGGGTGTGCTTTGCGAACAGTCCTGATTGTATGGTGCCTGTCGTTGTACAGTTGGCTGATGTATGTTGTACGGCATTTCTGCATTGAGAGTGCCGGCCTCACAACCCCATTTCCCAGGGTCGTATCCCCCACCGCAACAATAGTTGGGCGAAGTTGATTGGTAAGTGGGGCTGGTTTAGTAATGGTGCGATGATCATATTCTGGCTGACTGATGGGGGGGCCTCTACAAGATCCTGCGACCTTGGGCTGCCTGTACAGCAAGAGCTGGTCTCGTGGTACTGGCGGTTCATATACTGTTCTGCAGGCTTGTGACGAGTGTTAGAGAGCAAGGCGAAGCTCATGTGAACGCACGCGCAGTAGCACTTTGAAGTTTATTGCCAGAGCCCAGCGCTTCAGGCCGCGCCAGACGATACAAACACAAGCCGACGGTGCCCGCAAAAGAGATGTGGCTGGCCGCGCGACGGCGAAGGCCGCGGCGTGCTGTCCGAATCTGCGGCTGCGTCCCAAACGTGCGGCTGCGCCTGGCCCCTCGGCTGCAGTCTGAACTATTGACGCTTCGGGGACCCCACCAGCCCGCGTGAGGTATCGGCCCACCGCTTTTCGTCTTTGCGCGGCCCGCTCTGACTGGACTCGCCGCTGGCGCTCTCGGCTGCGGCCGCTGACTAAAAAGTAACCCCACCAGCGTGTGCAATTTAGGCTCCTGCTCGTTAGCCGTAGCTCTGGACGGCGCGCGGCACTTCCGCTTGCGCTCGCGAACAGAAAGTATCCCCACCAGCGGCGCACTCGGACTGCTGATTCGTCCTGGTCATCTTGCCGGTCAGCCAGTTCTTACGTCCTATTGGACGCTGAGCCCGCGGCTGAGCCAGGCATTGCTCCGTGCTGTTTCTCCCTGTTGCTTCGGTGCGGCCCGCCCTGGCTGTGCCCCGGTTTCGACCCGATTCGCGAGCCCGGGTATCAAACAAATGTATCCCCACCAGCCCATCCCATCCGAAACCGTTCGCAAGGGGAGTTGCCCTGATCAGGAATGTGTAGCAGCATGCGATGGAACAGAAGGAGGGCAAACGCTACCTTACGAAAGATGAGAAGGATGTTTAGGAGTTCGTTTGGAGCTCTTCGGGACCTTTGGGTGGGCGGAGGGTGGTCTCGAGAGGGGCGAGGGGGGGAGGGGGGAGGGGGTCTCTTGACATCCGCATGTGGCCATCTTGAAGGCCGAGCAGAAAAGAGGGGGGGCGGCGCCAAGTACGGTCCCCCTGTCAGGGCCCGGACGTTGACCTTTTATGAGTGCCCTCATAGGGCGCTCTTGGGGCGTCCCGGGGTGCTCTTAGAGTCCTCTTCGGGCGATCCGGGGCCGTCTTGGAGCCATCCAGAGGCCCTTTCTTCAGCCCATCAGAATCGACAGGGCGAGAAGGTACACAACATTAAACACCACATGTTTTGTAAAGGAATTTGATCTCCGGTTGGCCTTGGTAGGCTGGGCGTGCTCTCAGAGCCGTGCTGGCGCGGTCTTGAGTGTGCTTGGAGGCATAGTCGAGGCTATCCTGAACCATCTTGGGATGTCTCGAGTTATCTTGAAGGTGATCTTGGGCTTTGTGGAGCATTCTTGTAGCCGCCTTGGGCCAACAAGGACGCTCTGACCGCTCGCGAAACACCCGGTCCAGACCCAGGGTGACGGGCCAGGGCGCGGGGGACACATCTCTTCGAAGGGGAAGATGGGGACTAGCAGAAGGAGTTTCCTCGGTCACCAACGCCCAGAGGGCTGGTGGGAGTTGTTGCTGGCGCCAGATCCTTCCTCCGCTTTGCCAGTGCACCTTCTTCTCCTGTCTTCCCCCTTGCCACTCCTCCTTCTCTGACCGCTCCCGGTCTTCCTGGTCCTGGGCGGGTGCAGGCGATCTGCATGGGTCGACGTGGCCAGGGCAGCAGCAGGGGGCTCGGGGCCTGCGCCGATGGCAGGGGGCGGGCGACAGGAGTTTTACAACTTCCTGTCCACCACCGTCATTGAGATCATGCAGTGCCTCGCCGAGGGTCAGGACGGCAGCGGGAGGCGCCTGCGGCGGGCACGCTCGCGGCGCCCTCATGACGGTGGAGCTTTTCCGCGTCGCGGCCAGGGGATTCCCGAGATTCGGCTCGGCCTGCCGTGCCGTGGTGCGCGTCGCCGTCGCAGCGGCGGTGCTTGCGCCCACCGTGGGGCCGCGCAAGGGAGTGGCGATGCGGGGAAGGGGGGATCAGGGAGGCGGGGGGAGGCTAAGGGAGGATCAGGAATCAGGGCTATCAGGGGGATCAGGGCAATCGGGGAGGAGGGGGATTGGGGGGGGAACAGGGATCTGGGGGAGGAGGGGGATCAGGGGGATCAGGGACCAGGGGACCAGGAGGGAGGGGCGATGCGGAGGAGGATAGCGAGAATGCGACGGAGGCGCAGGGGACGACATGGGGCATGCGGATGGGAGAGGGCCAGGGACAAGCTGGGTGCGTTCGCGCCATACCTGACATCCTACTTCTCACGCCCAGCCCTTCCAAGGGCACTGTTTTGTTTCTATCCGCGGACGCGTGCCGTAGCGGACCTAACATCCCAAAAAGGATCCCAGCGTGTCTTGCGCAATCAGGAGGAAGGGAGCTGCGTACATTGCAGGAGAAGGACGTGACAGTTGAGCAGGAGGAAAAGGAGAAACACGAGGAAACAGGGGGTCGAGGACGAAGAACAGAATGAGCAGGAGGAAATGGAGAAGAACGAGGACGCAGGGGGGTCGAGGACGAACAGCAGCAGCAATTGGATTGGAAGGAGCGGGAGGAGCAAGAGGACCAGGGAAATGCGGAGCAGAGGGAAGGAGGAGGGACTGGGATCAAGAAAAGTGGCCCGCGCGTGGGCGACAGTGCCATTCCGAACGACGGGGGCATAGTGCCGATCCTAAAATGAGACCCACGCTGTAGCGGCAGCACCATTTTGAAGGACCGAAGATGACCAGATCGCAAACGAATAGGACAGACCGTAGCAAAGACCAACAGTTGAAATCTTCTGTGTGAAAACAGTACGCGGAGAGGGCTGGACATGTTCCAGATGTAGAGTCAGGGGAGAGGGGGGAGTAGTATTCATAATGTGGACGGAACTGGAAGTGGAGAGGGGGCGAGTGGACGGCATTTGAAGTGGAGGGAGTGAGGGGAAATGGATTGGGAGGGGAGAAGGGGGGGAAGGAACTGTGGAAACGGGCCAGAGGACGGATTCTTTCATGTATACACCCATAGCAGCAAAGCCGCTCGGACTTTGCACGAGAATCTGCACACGATGCACGTTGAATCGGTCTTCCTCCCGTCCTCCTCCCTTGCCGCGTTGTCCCGAGGTATGGCCGACAGATCTCGCCCTTCATCCAAAAGGGGCAAATGCCATCCTCGCATACTACTGATTTCGTTAGGGTCAGGCTGGTCGGACGTACAGACAACAAGCGACAATCAACGCAACAACAACAATCTGCACCTCGGTGCCTCACTTCAGCCATGCGCCCAGGGACAGTGAATGACCGTTCGGCCCCCCTCACTCTGATCCGCCCTGACGGCCGTTCTGGAGCATAGGAGGCTCTCTTGGAGCCATATTGGGCGAAAGAGGGCCCCCTGTCACATCGCGAAACCTCCCAGACGACTTCAGGGAAGCGAGGGGGACGGTACCCCTCCCCGAAGAGACCAAGGTTTTTGGAATAGGAAAGAATGAATTCGCGAGACCATCTGAGCCCACAGGGCTGGTGGGATTAAGCGCTGCCCCCTGCCCCGCAGCAAGGAAGACCACAAGAACCTTCAGCGGATCCAGCAGGGTCTTTTCCCAGGCCACAAGGGCCAGTCGCGGGTGGTTAACCCTCGTGGCGAGGGCATTGTCAGGCGGGAGGTTTTCCGTGGGCCGCCGCCTGCGGTTTTTAGCGCCTGACTTCGCTGCCACTGAGTGGACCTCAGCGAATTCCTCCCCCCTCATCCTCCGTCCTCCCTCTGTCCTCCCTCCTCCTCCCTGCCCCTCCCTCCTTCCCTCCCTCCCTCCCTCCATCTCTCACTCCTTCCTTCCCTCCGTCCTCCCTCTGCCCTCCGTCCTCCCATCCCCTGTCCTCCTCCATCCTCCGTCCACCTTCCCTGCCCTTCTCCGCGTCTCGCGCCTCTGTCATTTTTACTTTCGGCCCTCTCCCTCCGGTCCCTCCTTCCGTTCATTGTTAACCCCCCCCCCGCGGGCCGGAGGACATTTCCTTGCAGATCTCGGAGGCGGGGCGGGCTCCATCCTCCCCCGCCGCCGCCGCCGCCGCCAGAGGGGGGGGGGGCGGGGCAGACCGCCAGCACTCCCAGGGCGAGGGAGGAGGAGGAGGAGGAGGAGGAGGAGGACGAGGAGGTAGAGGACCAGGAGGAAGAGGAGGAGCAGCAGCAGCAGCAGGAGGATGAGCAGGAGGAACAGCGCGGAGGAGGGACGGAGAAGGATGGAGGGCAGGCGGGAAAGGGGGAGGGAGAGAGGGGGGGGAGAGCAGGAGGAGGAGGAGGAGGAGGCGGAGGAGGAGGAGGAGGTGGACGAGGAGGTGGACGAGGAGGAGGAGGAGGAGGATGAGAAAGAGGACTAATGCAACCCCAAGACTCATCAACGACATTGCAATAAACCCTCCTTCCAAGCTCCCTCCTATACATATTCATTCTGGGGAAAATGCCCCGTTGGGAGACAACTGTTCGAACATTTGGACGCGTGCCAGAACGCCATTTCCGGGGCTTCAACGCCGCGAATCACCGTTATTGTTGTGACTTGACGATCGTGAACATTGCCAGAACACCATGCCTGGGAATTCAACACCGTGAATCAATGTGATTGGTGCGCCCTGATAGTGCGGCATAATGCCAATTCATTATTTCTGAACGTTAGCCATGGTAATATTTGAAGCGATTGCAACCTCTTTAGCGAATGTGCGCGGAGCTACAGCGAGAGCAACATTTAAAAAACGAGCCGCCCTCCATCCGTGAAGCTCCTGCAAGCTTTTACGACGAGAGTGCGGGGGCTTGGGGGAGCGCCACATTTTGAAAAGGAACCGCCCCCCATCAGCAACAATCTTTCAAGCTTTTGAGAAGAATGTGCGCGGCGCCAGAGCGAAAACCATTGTTTAAAAAGGAGCCGTCCTCCATCCGCGAAGCTCTTGCATATTCTTTCAAACGCATGTTCGCGGCGCTAAGGCGAGAGCCACATGTTGAAAACGGACCACCTGCCATCCGTGATCTTTGCGCCTCTCAAGCTCACGCCCAGCCCGCCCGTTCGACCCAGCTCGGGGTGCGACAGGGAGGCGGCATCTGCACAAAGTGTTTGCCAGCGTGGGCCTCAAACAGTAGGTTCTTGCAGTCTACGCGACGCCATATATGTGGAGCAATGTATGCGATGCAACCTGTATAAGGCAATCTATGCGGTACAGTCTGCGTGGTGCAATGTATGCGATGCAACCTACGTAATGCAATATACGCGGTGCAATTTACGTGGTGCAATCAATCGCTTGCTCAACTCGAAGCTGTCTTCTCCACTGCTCGTGCAAACACCCCACCCTCCCACCCGCAACTTGGTCGCAAGACCCCTTAATACCGTGACGGTGGGTACCAACTTGCACTTGGCAGCGACGCCGACGACGACAGCGACAACGACGACGACGCCGCCGACAACGACTACGACGACATCGACGACGCTACCATCGACATCGACGCCGGCGACAACGACGACGATGACAACGCTGACGACGGCGACGACGCCGACGTTGACGACGCCGACGACGACGACGTCGACGAAGACGACGACGATGACGACGTCGCCAACAAAGACGACGACGACGACGAGGGAGAGAAGAGGGAGGACGGCGACGACGCGAACGATGAAGAACGAGGGAGGACGGCGACGCCGACGACGACAACGACGAGGGAAGAGGGAAGACGGCGACGACGACGGCGACGAAATAGGAGGGACAACGACGAAACGCCGACGAAGACGACGAGGGAGGAAGGACGAACACGGCGACACCGACGACGGAAACGACGACGATGCTAACACGACCAGAGGACGACGACGCCGACGACGACGATGACGAGGAAGGAGGGCGGACGACGACGACGACGCAAGAGCGCGCGCGCACGTTCTTGTTGAAAACCCGTGTTGCGAATTCATTTGTTGTTGTACGTTTTTTGACACTCGATTTTGACATTTTTCTGGGACCGAAGGTTTTTGAATGATTTCGGCATGCGGGCGCGACGGCGCGCGCGTGTGTACGTCGTCTTTTTTTTTTTTGCGGAGGAGTCTCGCGACGGCACGCGCGCAAGGGTGTCCGAAAGATTTTCGTCACGCGCGCACGCGAAGCCCGTTTGGTAATATTTGTTAAAAAATGAAAAATCTATGGTTTCCTGAAGATTTCGAAAGAGCGCGTGCGCGTAAGCTTTTTTAGAACATATGTGTTGTTGTTGGGATGCAGAACGCACTTGATGTATCTTAGTGCGCTGATGTAGGGCAGATGTAGGGAGGAGCAGAGTAGCACAGCAGGGAGGCAGCAGCGTAGAGTAAGACATGTTGCGCGCGCTCCGCAGCCATCTGGTCTTAACAGGAAAAAGATTCGTCATGGTAGCGTGAGCGGTTCACGCCTGCGCGCCGTGGCCGGCGGGATCCAGATACCCAGCGCTGGCGGGAGGTGCGCGGCCAAGCTGACCGCGTCGGCCTCCCGCGACCGCCGCCTCCCCCAAGAGAGCGGCAAGGCCACGGTGCGGGCAGTTCCGCCTGTGGTGAGAAGAAGGGGCCGGCTTGGCAGGACCGGGCCCCTTGGCGCGCGGGCAGACCCGCCGCCAAAGCTGGCCTTGCCGGCAAGCGTGGCCGTTCGGGTAGCCCCACCGCCACCGAGAGGCAGCCACCAGGAACGTGCCGCGGACGACTGAGTTCCAAGAGCGCGTCAGTTAAATGAGAGGAGACGGGGGCTCTGAAAGAGCAGGTACAAGCTCTGACGGCTCAGAGGAGACAGCTGACGGAACAGCTAGCTCAGCAGCGGCAGCAGCTGGTCCAGCAACAGCAGCAGCAACTGCAGCAACAAGCGCAGCAGCTAGCCCCAGCACAACAACAGGCACTGCCACAGCAGCTCCTGGACTTCCTGGCGCAGCAACGACAGCGTACTCCAGCAGCAGCAGACCCAAGCACAGCAGCAACTAGCGCAACAACAACAGCGGGCGGACGAGGCCATGCAGAAGATAGTGGCCGCGTTCGAGGGCCTCGGTACCCGGTCGACATCGACGACGACGACCTCTGAGAGGCCGTGTCTTGTCGATGCGAAAGGGACTGGGAAACCACAGCCGCTGCGCGGCGACAGCTGGTCCTCCTTCTGCTTCAAGTGCATGAGTTTCATAACCAGCATGTACCCGACCGCGCGAGACCTCCACGAGAGGGCGCAGAGCCACGAGGACGCGATCCGGGGCATCGATGGGGCGAAGATCGACCCGGACGCAGACCGCGCCCAGGACCAGTTGCACACCGTGCTGGCGCAGCTGGTAGAGGGTGAGTCCGAAGAGATCGTGCGCAACTGCGAGAGCCAAAAGGACCACGGCTGCGAGAGCTGGGGGAGGTTGGTCTGACGTTGGGCCCCATGAGTTCGGGGCGCAAGAGGTCCATTGTCGCGCAGGTTCTCAACCAGCCAGAGCAGAAGTTGGAGAAACTCAGCAGCGCCATCGAAGCACGGGCGCAGGATATCACCCGGTACCAGCAGAGGGCCAAGAAGACGGTCGACGACGATATCAAGACAGCCGTCTTGATTCCCATGTGCCCGAACCCACTGAAGCAGCACTTGCAGTTGAACGACGACCGTTTTGACTTCTACGACGACGTCTTGGATGGGGCCACCCAGTGCGCGGAGACGCGCCGGGCCAGCCAGCTCGACGAGCCAACGCCGATGGACATAGGCAGCCTGCAGAAGGGCGCCTGCAAGGGCAAGAACAAAGGCATGGGCAAGGACGCGGGCAAGGCGTCTTGCGCAAGGGCAAACACCCTTTCCAGGGCTACTGCGGCAAGTGCTGGGAGGTGGGCCACGTGGCCAAGGGCTGCAAGAGCGGCGAGGGCCGCGACTCCGACAGCAGGCCGCGCGGCGCGCGCGGCAAGCAGGGGCGCGCGAGCAAGGGCTGCCGGCGCGCGATCACGGGCAAGGCCAGCAAGGGCGCGCCGAGGGGCGACAAGGGCTGCAAGACGAAGAGGGGCGGCAAGAAGGGGCTTCACTGCATGGGGGCGCCCAGGGACTACGAGGACCAGCCGGGGCCAGAAGTGGGGGGCCTCGAACTCTGCGCGGTGGAGAGGGCCGAGCAGGGCGCCGGGCCGCTCGACGATATCTTTTTGGCGGCGCTCGAGAGCCTGGGCAGCGTCTTCAGCGGTGTCGGAGACTCCGCCCCCGAGCCGCTGGCAGACTGCGCGGGTACACCCGCCGACGCGCTGGGGCCGACAGGGAAACTCCCGCCGAAGAAGCGCCCGCCGAAGAGGGAGAAGAGAGAGACACAGAGAGAGAGATAGAAGAGAGAGAGAGAGAGAGAGAGAGAGAGAGAGAGAGAGAGAGAGAGAGAGAGAGAGAGAGAGAGAGAGAGAGAGAGAGAGAGAGAGAGAGAGAGAGAGAGAGAGAGAGAGAGAGAGAGAGAGAGAGAGAGAGAGAGAGAGAGAGAGAGAGAGAGAGAGAGAGAGAGAGAGAGAGAGAGAGAGAGAGAGAGAGAGAGAGAGAGAGAGAGAGAGAGAGAGAGAGAGAGAGAGAGAGAGAGAGAGAAAAAAAAAAAAAGAGAGAGAGAGAGAGAGAGAGAGAGAGAGAGAGAGAGAGAGAGAGAGAGAGAGAGAGAGAAAGAAAAAAAAAAAAGAGGAGAGAGAGAGAGAGAGAGAGAGAGAGAGAGAGAGAGATAGAGAGAGAGAGAGAGAGAGAGAGAGAGAGAGAGAAAAAACAAAAAAAGAGAGGGAGATAGGGAGAGAGAGAGAGAGAGAGAAAAACAACAACAATAAAGACATAAAGAAAGAAACATAAACAAACATGTGAGGGAGAGGGGGGAGAGAGAGAGAGGGAGAGAGAGAGAGAGGGAACAAACAAAAGAGAGAGGAATAGTGAGAGAGAGAGGGGGGGGAGAGAGAGAGAGAGAGAGAGAGAGAGAGAGAGAGAGAGAGAGAGAGAGAGAGAGAGAGAGAGAGCGGGGCAGAAGCGGAGGCAGCTGCGCGGAGCAGGGGCAGGAGGAGGAGCAGCACGAGGGCGCGGGCGCTGCAAGTTGGAGGAGCACAAGGAAGAGGAATAGGGGGGGAATACAACATCCCAGGCGCACCAGTCAAGAGGGAAGGATTGGAGGGGTTGGGTCTGTACTCGGCGAAGTATGACCAGGATCATGAGGCGATAGACGCAGCCGCGGACAGCGCCGCCGCAGCCGCCATCGCGCCAGAGGAGATGCGCAGCGACCACCCTATCGACCCCGACGGGAGCGGCATCGAGCACAAAGCGGCAGGGGGCCAGACGTCCACCGACAAGGACCGGGGAAAGTTAAGGGTCGCGACGGAGAAGTGGCAGCAGCGGCCCATGAAGAGTCGCGTCGGGCTGGTCCGCCGCGCGCTGCCTGGAACCGGGTCGTCTTCCAGAAGGAGGGCAGCTACGCGGGGCACGTCGGCGCGAAGCAAAGGGCCTTTCTGAATCGCGCCAACAGGATATTCCTCGTGAAACTGCGGGCAAAGAGCGCGCCTAAGCAGCAATGCGCCGAGGCCGCGACGAACCCGATGGAGATAGACCGGATGATCGCAGCGCTCCAGAAGCAAGAGAGCACCGGGGGCGCGGAGGCATCCGCGGGGAGCGCGGTCGAGTCGAAAGTCGCTGAACCCATGGGTTTCTCCCAGCAGGTCTAGCCGCAAGGCCGTCGGAGACTCGAGTTTCACCGCCGAGAGGGCAGCTGGCCCCTAGTGCCGCAGGTTCCCGCACTGTCTCAAGTTTTTCCGATTGGGGCAATGCAAATGGGCGCGGGTAGCGCCGCCCGTGGCTTGGGCCCTGTGGCCCATGCAACCAGCAATGGCCCTCGTCAAGGGCCAGTGGAGAGGCGCGGGGAGCTTGGCCTTCGAGCAGGTCGCCGGCAGCGGCGCCCAAGATAGCAGAGACGACCCCGCGGGCCCACCCAGGGGCCCGCCTGCACAGGCCCCTCTGGGAACAGAGGCCCCGGTGGGGGAGGAGCTCAGCAGTTAAATCTGCGCCCCCATGAGGTCGCCTAGCGCCCCCGCGCCGGAAGAGGCGGAGGGGCGCGAAGCCTCGCAACACTTCCCGTTTCGATTTTGGCGCCCAGACTGCGTCGAGGACGCGGGGCAGCAACGGCCCGCGCAGACCTCTCAGCAGAACTAGAGCACGCAACGCCGACGATCTCTACCGAATATTTCTGCTTCAGCAAGCGCTCGCATGCCTGGCGAAGGTGGACCGCAAGGCCCGCCTGCAGACTGCGCGGGCGGTTCCCTAGCAAGGATCCCACGGGGCCGCAGTTGAGCATGATGCCCGTGATATCAAGGACTGGGAAAGAACGAAGTTCATATACAAGTCCGACCAAGAGAACCCAATAGTTGCAATGAAGGAGGGTGCGATTGCCCAACGGGGGACAGACTTCGAGCTTGTCCCAGAAGTTCCCAAGGTAGGTGAGTCCATGAGCAAGCGCACGATCGAACGAGCTATGCGAGCCATCTCTGGGGTGGTAAGAACCCTGAAGGTGGCAACAAAGAGGGTGTTCAAAATCACCCTTGATCCCTGGTCGAACATTCGGCACTGGCTCGTGCAGTTCGCCGGTTTCTCGTTGCCCAGGCATGAGCAGGGCGTCGGGCGCCGTGGGAGCGTGCCAAGAGCTAGCGTTTCAAGCATGGTCCCCCAACTTTCGTTGATAATCTTTTCTATAGGAGACTGCGGGGCGTCTGAACGGGCTCGAACACAAGTGGTTGGGAGGAGTGCTCCTGGGGCGTAGAGACGAGGTCCCAGAGTTCTTCGTCAGCGCGAAGGGTGGCGCGGGCAGGTCGGCGGACGCCCATAGACTGCCGCCGAGTAGCCGCCGCGACGCGGCGGCGCTGTTTGCCGTCAGGGGGGCGCCGTTCGACCCTGTCCCAGGAGGGGCAGCAGCGACGCTGCCAGCGTCGTCGGGGATCGTGGTCATCGACGTCCCAGAGCCGCCCATGATGCAGCCAGACCCTCCTAGGGGCGAGCCGAGGGTTTCGTCGAAAAAGCGCGTGTACATCCCAAACCAAGATCTTAAGAGGCATGTTTGGGCACGGGCGCCCACGGTACGAGGCGGACATGAGTGGTCACAAACGACCCTGCACCGCGCGGAGGGACGCAGGAGGCGCCTGGAGGAAGCAATCGGGGGAACAGAACAGGGCAAGAAACGCCTCAGGGAGGCGGACGAGAGGATCACCGAAGCATTGACCGACCACCTCCAGAGACAGGTGGAGGCCCAACAGGCGCCAGAGCAGGGCGCGGGAATCTCCGCGCCTGCGGGCGCAGCGCCGCGGGCGGGCAGAGTCGCGGGCAGCGCCGCGCTCGCCGCGGCACCGGGGCCGTCGGCAGGGGGCGCGGGTAGCTCCGCCCCCGCTTCCGGGGCCCAGTTGGCAGACACCGACATGCCGCAACCGAGCCCGCCCGCGGCAGCGGGCGCGGGCAGCGCCGCCCCTGCCAGTGTCCTGGGCGGCGACGCCGTGCTCATGGAGGACGCGAGGCCGAAACAGATGGCCGAAACAAGTGCTGAGGTGGACCCTCTCAGCGCGGCCTTTCGGGAGTTGGGCGCCCCAGGGGCGCCTGATTGCACGGCCAGACAGACCGCCTCTGAGCGGTTGGGATGCACGGGGGGTCGCGTGTTCAACATCGGGAGAGCGGGCCCTGATGACGGCAGTTCCTGGGGCTGCAGCCTGCCAGCGGAGCGGCGGAAGGTGCTCTGGATGGTCGAGGACAGAAATCCAGACCTTGTTGTAGGCTCACCAACGCATCGTACCTCAAATCGCCATGCCCGCGAATCTTTTAATGTGTGGGAGGAGGATGGAGGAGGGGGATACTTCTTACACGTACAACATGATTGCGATACTTCGGCCTGGGCGCTGGCCGGCACGAGGGGGATCCTCAGGCAGGACCGGGTGTATCTCGGGAGAGCGAATGGCGTGCGTCGGCTGTCCAATAGCAGTGAGCTAGCCAGCCGCATGGCATCGCATCTCCCAGGACAGCCGGTCGACGCAGCTGATGTCCAGTGCCTTGAAACGCAGCTCAGAGCAGACGGGCGGATGAAACCTCTTTCCGCTTCATGGGCGCCCTTCCCCTGGAGCCGGAGGAAGATCTGCATGGGCGCCCTTCCGCGGGCGATTGGTGTGATCATGCGGGCGAACAGCATGTGGACGACGCATCAGGCTGCGCGCTTGATCCCGCGCTCGCGAGGGAGGGCCCCGCGGCCGAGCTGGAAGAAGCAGGTGCGCGAGTGGGCGCCAGTGGAGGAGGCTGCACGAGTAACAGGAAAGAAACCGATTTGCACCCGTTGGGCTGGCGCCAGCAAAGGGGACCAGAGCAACCCCGACTGCCGGGGCCGCCGCTGCGCTTAGGAACTCAAGGTCAAAGATCCCGGTAAGGAGGGGACTTTCGCAGCGACGCCGCCTCTCGAGCCCCTTATATTCTTCGACGATGACCGCGCCCGGACAGGGGCGCAGAGGCGCAGCGGCGCGGAGGCACGTTGCTGTTGTTCATGGACGCTACGCGTGCCCATTTCCCCAGCCCCGCGGATGAGCTGATCCACGTGGGGGCGCCGCCAGAGCGACGCCGCCAAGGGCGGCGTCGGCGCCTCCTGAAGAGCATGCAGGGGGCCCGACGGGAAAGGGCGCAATTGGGGGCGATTATACGCGCGCGTGCTGGTCGAGGGCCTCGTTTTTCCTTGGGTTTGAGCAGCCCATGCTTGTTCCTACACGGAAAGGTCCGTGGGGGGGCTCGGGTGCATGGAGACGATTCCGCGTTTCGTGGATCACGCGTGGATGTCCTTTGGGTGGGAGAGCAGATACGGCGGCGCATCAAGATGAAGAAAACTGGCTTGCGGGGCCCAGGGCCCCGCGACGACAGGGAAAGTCGGGTGTTTGAATCGAACCATTCGGCTCGACATTGCGAGGGATTGTCCTGAGTGGGAATGCGGCCCAAGGCGCGCGCATATCATCGTCGAGCAGATGGGTCTCCGGAGGGGCTCTAACGGAGTAGTGGCCCCAGGCGTTTCGACTGCAGCGCCGGATCCAAGGGGCGACCCCGTTCTTGATCGAAGCGCAGCCACTCTCTTCCGTTCAGCCACCATGAGGACAGCATGCCAAGCAATAGGTCGACCAGAGTTGTTGCGCCCAGCCAAGGAGGCAGCAAGGGCAACGCAGCCCCCGACGAGAAGCGCACTGGAGAAGATCAAATGGATACCTCGCTATCTCGCGTCGGCGCCGCGGGTCGCGCAGGCGCTTCAGCGGCAGCCAGAGCAGGGCAAGCTGATTCAGCACACTGACGCGGACCATGCCGGGCTTAAGACCGCTCGCAGATCAATTTTTGCAGGGTTAGCGATGCACGGCAGCCGCACGTTTGCAGCGTATTCTACGACGCAGAAGCCGATGGCCACTTCTTTTGGAAGGTCGGAGTATTACGGCATGCTCAAGGCCGGGTCGCGCCATGTGGGAATGGCCCCCATGGCCGAGGACTACAGCCCGACGTGCAAGGCCGAGCTCTGGGCAAATGCTTCTGCAGGCATCGGCATAGCATCGAGGCGTGGCACTGGCGAGATACGCCACCTGCGCGCGCAGGCACTGCGGCTACAACAGGCAGCGGCCGACAAGCGCTTGAGCGTTGCGCAGACAAAGGGAGTGCAATCCAGCCAACCTCCCCACGAAGCACGTCGACGGGGAGACAACGTGGCGGCATCTGGCAGACCTCGGTTTCGAGCTCTGGAGTGGCCAGAGCACGCTCGCCATTGCAGTGGCGGGGGATGCGTAATTCCCCCGGCACAGTAGCCGGATGGCTTGGGTCAGCGGCTGCGGGGAGCACCGCGCCGGAAGGGCGAAGCGGGTAGCTCCGCTCCACCTGCGTTACACGCAGTGCGGACAGCCCCGCCTGCGAGGACGCGAAGGCATGCCCGCCCACGCCATTGCGCGGGTAGCCCCGCCGTGGACCCCGCGCCCCACAGCCTAACAGAGCGCGGCCTCACCAAGCGAGGGTTTGGCGACGCCCGCGAGAAGGGGCGTTGGGATGCAGAACGCACTCGATGCATCTTAGTGCGCTCATGTAGGCAGATGTAGGGAGGAGCAGAGTAGCACGGCAGGGGGGGGCGTCAGCGTAGAATAAGACATGTTGCACGCACTCCGCAGCCACCTGGTCCTAACAGGAAAACTATCCCAGTGCGACCCTACCTAGGAGTTGGAGCCCCTAGGAAAGCAGCATTAGTAGCAACAGTAAAGCTAAGCTAAAGCTAAGCTAAAGCTAAGCTAAAGCTAAGCTGAAGCTAAGCTAAAGCTAAGCTAAAGCTAAGCCAAGGCTAAGCTAACACTAAGTTAAAGCTAAAGCTGAAGCTAAGCTGAAGCTCAGCTAAAGCTAAGCTAAAGCTAAGCTAAAGCTAAGCTAAAGCTAAGTTAAAGCTAAGCTAAAGCTAAGCTAAAGCTAAGCTAAAGCTAAGCTAAAGTTAAGCTAAAGCTAAGCGAAAGCTCAGCTAAAGCTAAGCTAAAGCTAAGCTGAAGCTAAGCTAAAGCTCAGCTAAAGCTAAGCTAACATTAAGCTAAAGCTAAGCTAACACTAAGCTGAAGCTAAGCTAAAGCCAAGCTAAAGATAAAGCCAAGCTAAAGCTAAGCTAAAGCTAAGCTAACACTAAGCTAAAGCTACAGCTAAGCTAAAG